GCCCCGGTGCTTTCAGTAGTACGGGCCCAATACTACTGTCCACACCGTCTCAGTACACACCCCAAACCTTCCTCTTCGGATCCCAATTCCCAAGTACTCTATCATGCGTAGACCACTTTCTAACAGATCTCTCATAAACCCCTTGCTGCTACCTACTCACTCTCAGCATCTCATAGCAGCTCACCCCTCCCTAGGCTAAGGCATCACAAATCAGGCCACTCTAGTCCTATTAGCAATACCTAGCCTACTCTAGCATGCAGATACATCATATTAATATTAATATCACGTAATATAAAGGTATTTTGGGAATTCACCGTTCGGGCGCTGACTGATCGTACACACGTTTCTTCCTGGAATTTGTTTCTTTTTCAAGAAAGTCTTTTACTCTTAGAAAATTTTGGTTTTCTTTTGAAAATATCTTTCCAATTCCTCAGTTTGAGTTCAAATACTCCCGAAGGTGTACCCGAATCCCTCAAACCAAGGCTCTGATACCAATTTGTAACACCGTAAATTTCAAAACAAAATTTTCAATTTTCTTATAAAACATAATTCAGTTAATATTCATCAAACAACCATATTAATTATCCAAAATAGGTCAATACAAAATCCCAAGATCACAATGTAAAAACTCCGAGTGTGTGTGTACGGATCAAGCCGGCGCCTTCCCACGGTCGTCACTAGTACCTGAAACAATAACATCAAACACTGTAAGCACAAGGCTTAGTGAGTTCCCCAAAATACCACATATAACACATATTAGCCACTCGAGGCTATAACTCTGTGGGTCCGTGCACCCAAACTCTGTGAACCCTCAGGTTCTAGCTCTGATAAACATGCACTACATAAATCACATAGAAATAATGCAGTGCAACACATAACATACATAGCATACAATACTCTATCACATAACTCAGGTTACCTACTCAAGGTAATATAGTATAGTGAGAAGACTCACCTCGTGTATCTCGGTATCTCACGAATCCTGGAAATCCCTCGTGCTCGATCCTCCGAGCTCTAATCCTCCTATAACATTATATGTTTCTAATTAACACTTTATATCTCTAAGGTTGACTATCTATAAGAAGTCAACACAGGTCAACTCTGGTCAACGGTCAACAGTCAACTCTGACCGGACTCGGCGAGTACCATGGGGACTCAGCGAGTCTAGACGTTTTCACCAACCCTCTGAAATCCTCTTACTACATGTCGAGTATCCCCCCCCCCCCCCTTTACTCGCCGAGTTTCACTTGAATGAATCGTGGGGCCACCCCGACTCAACTCGACGAGTCCATGTTTGACTCAGTCCACTCGTCATCCCTCTCCAACTCACCCTGACTCACTGAGTCTACCCATGACTCGATTGGACCACTCGCTGAGTAGTCCCAAGGCAATCTTCAAGCTACTCGCCGAGTCGGATGAACAGACTCGGCGAGTCCATGCCATGCAACCACTCCAACTCGCTTCTAAGGTCAGATCTGCTTCCAAAAACTATAGATCTGGCCTCCCTCGACTGATTCATCACGTAAAGCTCCTATCTTGGTGCTCATAACACACCCTATAACTCAATAATGGCGTTTTGACCTAAGGCATGAGGATTCCAATCCAAAGCCTCCATTGATTCCCAAAAAGCTTGGGTAAAGGGACACTCTGGACCTCTAAGGGTCCAGATCTATGGTTCCAACCTCATAAAAGGACCAAAAGAACACCAAATCTTGCCATAAAAGGGTTCAACAAACCCTAAATCTAGATAAACAACAACAACAAGAAGGTAACTCGGATTTATTACCACAAAAGTGATGCTCTGGACTCCAAACCCACATAAGTCGCTCCTTCTTGCTTTCCCATGGCTAGCTCTTCTCCTTTCCTTGCAACAATGGCACCTCCAAGGTCAATAATGGCCTCCTACTTAGCTCCAATGCTCACACTCGATTAGGGTTTCACTGAAGGAGCTGGTGAGCACAAATGACGGCCATTAGGCCCTTTAAATAAGTCTCAAACCCGAGAAATTAGGGTTTCATTACACAGCGCTGACTCGCCGAGTCCATATCCTGGACTCGTCGAGTCCAGGCGCGATCCTGCGTCCAAATCCACGTCCCTACTCGGCGAGTCTGAGCTCCAACTCGCCGAGTCCCCCTCACAAATCAACAAAATACAACAAACAAGATACCTGATAAAATCCGGCTATTACAGTATGAATTTTGAAACCATTTTTTGAACAGGGGATGTCTGCTAAAAGGGCATCGTCATCATTTTATTAAAGGTAAAAGGGCATTGTCGTCCTTTTATGTCACTATTAGCATTTTACCTGTATATTTTAATACAAGTATTAAAATAAATAAAAATAGGTTGCTAAATTGTATCCATTTGATGCTTAAATGTTTTAAAAACATTTTTTAATCTATTTTGGAAGCCAACTTTAATTATATACAGGGTAAATTTAGGAAAGAGGTATTTAGGTATTATTGTGAAACAATGTTGCTTCATTATTTCTTACTTTATATATTGCTTAGTTGCTTTAAGGGGATTGGTATGTAGTAATTTAATGCATCATATGATTACTTTGGAACCATATCTGAGTTTATATGCATGTGATTTTATGATCATTGTGGATAAAATATTGGATATGGAAGTTTGGATTTTAATTGTGCTTTGTTGATCGATATATTGATTAATGATCTTTATGTATCATTTGAATTTTGTTATTCTACAAAACTCATAGCCAAGCGATGACGTTCCACAAACAAATTGTCCATAAATTACTATATAACCCTTCATATTCATAAGAATCACCAGATGCCAAAAATAATCATATCTGTTTAGATCCATCTAAGGATGAGCAAAAGGACCGAACCAGACGGACCCGACCCGGGAACCGGCTTCAGCCAAAATCAAAAACCAAACCGGCTCGGCGGTTCTACCAGTTCTGGTTCTACCGGTTCCCAGTTCCTACCGGGTCTTGTCATGTCTTCAAATGTTGGAACTAGTCCTTGAAAAATAGCATCATACGGTTCCGGTTTTTGTCAGTTCTACCGGTTCCAGTTATATCGGTTCCGGTTCCTACCGGTTCCTGGTTCCAAAAATCCACAAAATAAAGTCCTGGTCCCGGCCCAACCAGTTCCCCCGGGTTCCGGTTCCGGTTACGGTACCGGTTCCGACCGGCTTCCTGGTCCATATGCTCATCCCTAGATTCATCCCCGCAACGCGGGGCTCCTCATCTAATTAAAACAATTAACTAACTATTTGTAAATAATATGGAATAGTAGATTAGTTAAAGTTTTAATCACAATTTATGGTAACTGTTATCCTTAATAACCACAATTATGGAATGTTTTTAATTATTCAGATTTGATTATTTTTTAAAACAAAATTAAATATTCCTCAACATATGCAATATACATAATACAACTACAATCTCACAAAATTATGTAAATAATATATATATATATATATATATATATATATATATATATATATATATATATATATATATATATAGAGAGAGAGAGAGAGAGAGAGAGAGGTGGGTTCAATTGAGAAAATAAAAATTGTAGAGAATTGAGGAATCATTCTCAGCCACTCATTTAATTAGCCTCTAAACATAAAGGACACGGTGCAAACATGTAAATATGATATAATAGCCTTCAATCACAAATACGAACAGTTGAAATTCATTCGTTTTTTGCTCTTTCAATCCAACCTTTAATTCTGTTTGAATACGAACATATTTTCAACATCTACGATTAAATATACTCCCAACATCATTAGAACAACATCATCGATAATCAACAAAAATTCAATTCGTATTATTCATTCAACATGGTTCATCAAATAAAACATCGAAATTAAGGTTAGAAAAAGATCAAATCATTTTTTGTTTGAAATTTTCATATATTTCTCTACCAGTCTACTATTTTGTAAGATTTAAGTAATTAAAGTATCGTATTTATCACATTTTTAAAAAAGTTAACTTGTATGCACTCCAACTGTTTAATGAAATGCATAAACTAAATTACCACGTTATATTCACATATGAATATGTTTTCTCACCTGAATCAATATGTGTTTATTAAAACACAAAACAAATATGCAAGTCTGTATGTTATTCATATGTGAATAACATATAAAAATTATATATTTTTCTCAAAACACATTGTAATATTCATATATGAATATACTGTACAATATTCACATATGAATATACCAACTATTATTCATAAGTGAGTATATGATCTAATATTCACAAGTAAATATATTATGAATTATTCTCATGTGATATACCATGTAATACTATATAATATTCACATATGAAAATATCATATAATATTCATAAGTGAATATATCATCTAACATTCACAAGTGAATATACTACGTAATATTCACAAGTGAATGCATCTTCTAATATTTAAATATAAATATAATATGTTTAGTATATGATATACTCATATATGAATGATCCTTAAATTGTAAAAAAAAAAAAAAAAAAAAAAAAAAAAAAAAAAAAAAAAAAAAAAACTTAATCATAGTTTTTATTCATAAGTGAATAACGAATGTACTGTATTAAAAACCAGATTCATTTTTATTCACTTATGATTAACGATAGTTGAAAATATAGAAAAAATAAATTTTTTATTTTATCTTAAAACCATATCAATATGGATGTCTATTTGTAGAGAATAAAAAATCAAGAACTTTGGTATATTTAGAATCATTTTTCGATAAAAATAGATTCTTAAAAATAAAAAATAAAAACGAAAAAACTATGTTTTTGTATATATATATTAAGGTAATGATTAGCATAGTTTAAGGAAACATGTTTTGTTGGAAAACACATGTGCATTCTTTTTCCATTTCCGCTGGTACGTTGGAGCTTTTTACGGCAAAAATAAATGATTGACTGAGAATGATTCTCCAATTCTAAACCCTTTTTTTTCTCAGTTGAACCCTCCTCTATATATAATAATATTTTTGAGATTGCTAATAATCATCCTTTTTCTAGTGAACTAGAAAGTTCTTTTTATTGGAATTCTAGTGATTTGAATAATGGATCTAAGAGTAAGAATCTTGACCACGATCATTACATGGATGATACTCGGTATACTTGGAATAATCACATTAATAGTTGCATTGACAGTTATCTTCAGTCCCAAATCTGTATTGATAATTACATTCTAAGTGTTAATGACAATTCCAGTAACTATATATATATATATATATATATATATATATATAATATATATATATATATATATATATATATATATATATATATATATATATATATATATATATATATATATATATATATATATATATATATTTCAACATGTAAACTCAAATTGCATTTCCATTAGAATTTTTAAGAATCATAATTGTAATATTTATATATTCAACATATGTAATACGATACACAACATAAATAATACAATGCAAACACATGTAGTAACATGTGTTGCAACATTAAAGTATGTTCGAGACTCTTAAAAAGAAGAAAAATCGTTGAAAACATCTCTAATATGCGACTTTGCTTCAAACTATATTGAAGCATATCTTTTTTGCAAGTTACAGATAGAGATACGCGTGGAATTAAGTTAGCTAGTCGTCATGTACTCTGACACTTTGTTTTGGTGATTTAGTGGTAAAGAGTCATATGGAACTGACTAATTGTAGATGCATAGAAATATCTACAAGATATTAAATATTAGTACAACTTAATTTGTTTAATACTTTAATGTATTTAGATTTACAAATTAAAATATGGTTAAAAGTAGGGCTACACATTGGCTTGGTTCGTCCGATTTGGTCTAAAGCAACATGTCGTTGTTAAAGTCCTAGTAAGCACATGCTTAAAAGCTTCTACCCCACTGCACTCTTTGAGTATGAAAATCCGGCTCGGTTAAGCCTCTTGGCTAAGCCCGATACCACTTAAACCAAAAATCCTGTGTTTTTTCAATCTGTACCTAACGTTAAATTATACAAATTTGATAAGAGTATTTATTCGTACGTAACAAATTTTTTGCATACACAACAATTTGTATATTAAAGTATTGTATTTTACAAATCTATAAAACATAAATTGTTGTAAATTAAGAAAAATTGTTGTTCACAAATCACTTCCAATTTGATAAATACATTGGTTTTCTTTATTAATATAACAAAATAAATTTCTAAAGCTTCGGTACTATTTTGAAATTAAAATTTTATTTACCATTATTGTTAAAACATACAATGATCTATTTGTTTGTCGTTCAAACATGGCTTTATTAAAAGAAGGGTCTGCAAGACATTTCTGAAAAAACTTTGTGTTTATTGAAGTAATAAGCAATAAGTTGGGAAGCATAAATTATATTATTCTTTAGTGCAATCTATCCACTATGTAAATACAACTTAGAATTACAAAATAACAATCTTATATTCCTATTTATCAGTGCTTCAAAATTAACTCAAAGTTTTATGGTCGGATGTTTTTATTTTGTATAAAGATGTTCTAAAGTTCATATAAACCCACCATAACGACAACTTCTATGATTAAACATGGATTATTTAATTCAGATGTATATATTTATTAATTACATTTTTTTAGGACAACAAGTCTTACATTTTTTGTCACATTTGGTTTTATCTATGTCACACGTGCAACAGGTGCCACAACAGCAATATGTTGGACCCACTTTGCTACAAGTCGAAACACAATCTGGTGGTTTAAACCCATCTGTTTTGATGTCATTGGTTTCAGTCTTGTTACCTATAAATCAAAAACACATAGTATTAATTATGATATCTAATAAAAAAAGATCGAAGAAGATGGGCAAAATAATAGATGATCAAAACTTACATCGATGACAAACAAACAATAAAAGAAAACTTATACAAAAGACCACTATTCGTATTTCGAAGAGCTTCACCATTGGGTTGTGTGAAGGTGTGGTCTTTTAGGCTACTTCTACATCTTCCACAAATAAAGAAGATTCAACAAACCACAATTAATACTACGTGTATACTTATATGTGTATTAAGGATTGTTCACTACGTAACTGTTAGATTTTACCAATTTTAATATGGTTAAGAATAAGATGACTTTAAACGAAAGGAGTAATATATATTTTTTAAAACGTAACGTAGTTCTATTTCTAATTTTATTTATGTTTCAAGACTTACACTCTTAATTTTAAGGAATGATGATAGTACTAATATCGGTGGGCTAAAAGCATATATATATATATATATATATATATATATATATATATATATATATATATATATATATATATATATATATATATATATATATATGTATATATATATATGTATATATATATATATATATATATATGTTCAGGTTCATTTGAGTAAAGGCGTAGCTATGACCTATTTTTCTTAATAATAATAGAAGGATTATATTAAAAAAAAATAAGAACTCCCATATAATTTATAAAAGACCTACCTTATAATGTTTATGAATGTATGCAGCTCATATTTTATATAATCTAGTCCACTTAGTGTAGCCCAATGAATCAATCCAATTAAAAGTTATTCATTACCCAATAGCTTAACCCATTTAAAATTAAATAAAAAAAAATTGAAAAAACTTCTTAAGAGATGCTTGAACCTTGATCGTGATCAACATCTCTTAATATTGAATGCTTGATGTGGTTTCTCGCCTGGTCGATCATTCCCGTTGTCCACTAGCCACCGTCGCCCCACAAGAAGGCGCCACCTCCTCTGCCCTCATGCCCTATACACAACAAAACAAGTGATCAATTTTGAATGATAGTTTAGTGTCGTATATTGAAAAAAAATGTTTTAGATGTATCGATCATGATATAATTATGAATATATTTCAAAATATAAGACCTCGTAAGTTCAATTATAAGAACTTTATTATACCTATTGAAGTTATGTTTAAATATTTTAAGTCATATGGCTCGACTTGCAACCACTAGTATTTATTACACTTTCATTTTTTTCGGTTTCATTTACATAAGGAACCATGTGGTTTTCGGCTCTAGATTCGTCAGTGCATTTGAGACCATTCTAATTTTGTGAGACCGTGAGACCAAATCTAAAAATAATTTTAAAATGCAAAATAAATGGAAAAATCCAAAAATTCTTTTTTTAAATATTATTTTCGGAACTTGAATTAATTAAAAAAATTAATTCTAAATAGAATATTACACTTATATATTCTAAAAATAATTTTAAAATGCAAAATAAATGAAAAAATCTAAAAATTCTTTTTTTAAATATTATTTTGGAAACTTGAATAAACTAAAAAAAATTAAAAAATCCTATTTTTTTTTTTAAAATACGTGAAATATTCTAAATAGAATATTACACTGTATATATTCTAAAAAATAATTTTAAAATGCAAAATAAATGGAAAAATCAAAAAAAAAATTTAAATATTATTTTCGGAACTTGAATTAACTAAAAAAAAAAAAAAAAAAAATAAAAGAATGTGTCTCACTGTCTCATAAAATTAGACCGTCTCACATGAACCTAACCCTATATATATATATATATTACTCCTTTCGTTTAAAGTCATCTTATTCTTAGCCATATATATATATATATATATATATATATATATATATATATATATATATATATGGAAAAGTAAATATACTTCATTCCTCAAAACTACGTAGTTTAATTATTGGATTAATTTTTCTGAAAAAAAAAAACAATTTCACGTGTTTCCTTTTCCACTGATAATACCGAAACATAATTATCCTTGATTCACAAAAATCGATTAGTTGCTTCTATCTTCGACTGCTTGTGAAAGAAAAACAAAATCGCCATTGTATCACAAAAAAGCGATTTCCAATAAATCGGATTATCGGAATTCGTAAAACTGATTTCCAATAAATCAGATTATTAGAATTCATTGCGTCCTTGATTGGCTGCTTCCATCATCGACTGGTTGTGAAAGAAATTCAAAATTGCCATACTATCACAAAAATCGATTTCAATTAAATAGAATTCAAAGGCTTGATTCACAGAAACTAACGAGTGTGGCTGCTGCATACCTACAAAAATTGTCATTCCTTTAAGAGCTCTTCCAAGTAATTATTTTTTATAACTTTTAATCACCCAATCATATATTCAATTTGTTTGTACGTCAAGATTTAGGTGTTTTGCTTGTCACAAAAGTAGTTGCTTCTTGTACCCAAGAAACATAGTTCCACAATGTTTGTCACTATTTTCATAAGAAAAACAATTGTTCTCAAATAGCAAAAACTATGGATTATGAACATGTTGGTAAAAATTGCATGCACTAGCTAGTTTTGGTTACAATTCTATCAACCATATTTACAACAAGTGTAGGGATCATGTTATGCTATAATGTGTTAATGTGTTAGAGCCCAAGAGATGTCATTATGAAGTACTGACGATTTTTTATGTTTTATGTTGAGCTTATACATGTTAAATTGATAATTGTAGTTCTTTGTTCATTTTATATGCATTTATTGGGAATGGAAAGTCATCTTTATAGAGTATTTTTGATGCTTAACAATTTTTAATGTTTTTTAATGAAATTTGTTGATCGGTAATGGAAAACGTCAATTGGTTGTTATTGTGTTTTTTTATGTCTAATGTTTCCATTATATTCAACATAAAACAATTTGGTCTTAATATTTTATTTGGAAATATGCATTGTCTATTGCAGGCCATAATGAGTGAAGCTGAAGCAACTAATCAAGCTATAGAACCATATATAACCGAAGATATTGACACAAATGATTACATGGAAGCAACATATGAATGTGAAAAAATAAACAGTATCGGTGTGAGCACTGAATTTGATGAAGATGAAGTTAAAGATGAAAGTATTCTGGGAAAGGTTTTTGATACACACGATGATGCCTATATATTTTATAATGATTATTCATTTTTGCGTGACTTTGGTATACGTAAAGATGACACAATTAAAAATCCTAAAACAAATGAGCCTTTTCGGAAGATATATGTATGCAACAAGAAGGTTTCAAAAAGATGGACAAAAATGCTTCAAGTGAAAATGAGAAAAAAACGTCGTAGAGATGTTAGAATCGGATGTCAAGCAAAGCTTCGAATAACAAGATAGGAGGATGGGAAATGGTTGGTGCACTCGTTTAATGACACACACAATCATGACTTGACCATGACACCTACGAAGGTGATGAAACATCGATCTCATAGCAATTTCCACCGTTCAATAGAAGGTAAATCTCTTATGTTGCAATTTGGTCAAGTAGGGTTGAAACCTTCTCAGATTAAAAAGGCTGTTAATACCATGAAAAACTCAAATGTAGCTGATGTTACTTCAAAGCAATGTGCCGATGTCTTATCTGAGCAACGAAAACAACATAGAGTAAAGGAGTTCTATGGACTTATAAAACATTTTCAAGATAAAACATTAGTTGATAGTGACCAGTATTTTGTCGTGGATTTGTCTGATGATGGGTATCCTAGAAATATATTTTGGGCTGATGGTAGAGCAAGAGATGCTCATACAAAATTTAGAGATGTTGTGTTTGATGAACTTGTATGACTAACAAGTTCAAGATGCCTTTTGCTCCCTTTACTAGGGTGAATCATCATGGGCGGTCTATACTATTTGGTGGAACATTGCTTGAAAACGAAAAGGATGAGATATTTGAATGGTTATTTGAACATTTCCTCAAATGTATGTTTAACAAGTATCCGAAGGCAATTATAACAGATCAAGACAAAGCAACGGGAAATGCAATAAAAAAAGTGTTTCCAAAGACTCGACATCGCTTTTGTTCATGGTATATCATGAAGCATGAAACTGAGCACCTTCGATCGTATGTTTCCCGTTATAGTGATTTTCAAGAAACGCGCAAACAATGGGTAAATAGTGACACTATTGAGCAATTTGAAGCAACATGGGAAGTTATGTGTAGTAAGTATGAACTGGAAAGCAATTGTTGGATTAGTGACATGTATAACCAATGTATACATTGGGTTAAACCCTTCTTGAAAGATACTTTCTTTGCTGGTATGACCGCAACCGGACGAAGTGAGAGTATCAATTCATTTTTTGATGGGTTTATTAACTCGAAGACCATACTGAATGAATTTGTTGTACAATAAGACAAAGCAGTTGAGTCTGGAAGGGCCGCTGAAGAAGATGAAGACTTCAAGACTATGAACTCGAGGCCGGTTCTTTCTTCAATTCATCCAATCGAAGCAAAAGCAGGTCAATGTTATACTAGAAAGATTTTTGATACTTTCAAAAAAGAATGGACCGAAGCTATTACCAATTTGACTCACGAGACTATAGGAAAAACTGCGGAAGAAAGCACATACCGAGTTGGACAATTGGATGCTGATAAAAAATATTGGCGCTGATGGGTTTTGTACATAAGAACATTCCTAAGTGCGCATACAAACCCAAATGCTTGGATCTAGGTTTCTCTATTAAACATGCTTTGAATCCAAGGCTTCTAATGACTTATTAGGTGTAAAAACAACACAAAACAGATCTAGAAACATACTTTTGATTCTCTTGTTTGATCTTGTTGTCTTGGAGCTCTAGAGTCACAATTGTCACTCCTCTAATGGCTTACAAACACCAACTAGCAAAGAGGATGATTTGAGAGAGAGGAGAGGGGATGGAATTCCACCAGAGTATCCTTACTTTAGAAGATGTGTCGAATTCTCTATCCCATAGGGTCTATTTATACTTGTAGACTCCTTAAGGGTTACAGCTTAAACCCTAGTTGGATAACTATTACTCAAACCAATCCAAATCCTTCCAGGATAATGCCTTGGATGAATTTAGGACTTATCCTAGCCTAGAATTCGTCCAACCCTTTATCCAATAAGGATTTACAGTCTAAAGTTTAACTATCAAGCAATTGACAGTTTATACCCTCTTATTTAATTAATCTCCTTAATCACCAAATTAATACTAATTAATCTATGACTTATACTAATCAAATAACTATATTATTA